TGTCTCTCTGTTTATTCTTTGTCCATTTAACCTAATAGAGACAGTGGGGTACTGAAGTCCCTATGATTCCTGAGTTGGGGTTAATCGGTGTCTTAAAGTCCTGTAATTTTTTTTTTTTTTATGAATTTGGGTGCACCAGAGTTTGGTGCATATATGTTAAGGATTGTATTATCTTCTTGGTTAATTGTTCCTTTTATCAGAATGACGTGACCCTCCTTATGTCTTCTGATTAGTTTTACTTTGAAGTCTATTTTGTCAGATATTAAAATTGCAGCCCCTACTTGTTTCTTAGTGCCATTTGCTTGGAATATTCTTTTCCATCCTTTTACCTTAAGGTAGTGCCTGTCCTTGAAGGTGAGATGGCTTTCTTGTAGACAGTAAAGAGATAGATTTTGTGTCTTAATCCATTCACTTAGCCCTTATATTTTTACTGGGGAGTTCAGTCCATTGATTTTTAAGGTTATAATTGAAAGGTGTGTATTGCTTGCTGTCATTTTGACTGCTCTTTATGTTCTCTAATTTTGTGTTTCCTCAATTATACCTTTATTTTCTTTTGTTACCCCTGGGGTATAGTTGTTTCTCTCTCTGCTCTCTATATTGCTTCAAGTATTCTTTGAAGGGTTGGTTTTGTGGATGTGTATTCTTTCAGGCTTTTCGTGTCATGGAAGATTTTTCTTTCCCGCTCAACTATAATAGAAATTTTTGCTGGGTTAAGTATTCTGGGCTGGCATCTATTGTCATGTAGAACTGGAAATACCTTGGTCCAGGCTCTTCTGGCTTTCATAGTTTGCATTGATAAGTCAGCTGTAATTCTGATGGGCTTTCCTTTGTATGTGACTTGTTGTTTTTCTTTTGCTGCTTTCAGTATTCTCTTCTTGTTCTGTACATTTAGTGTTTTTACTATATGTCATGGGGAGTTTCTTTTCTGATCCTGTCTATTTGGTGTTCTATGTGCTTCCTGTATTTGTATGGGGATGTCTTTCCTTAATTTTGGGAAATTCTTATCTATAATCCTGTTTCAGATCTGGTCAATACCATTAACCTGAAATTCTTTTCCTTCCTATGATCTGTAGATTTGGTCTTTTCATGGTGTCCCACATCTCTTGCATATTTAATTCCTGTGTTTTTTAATTTCCATAATCTTCACTTGAGTGGTCCAGTTCTTCAACTTTATCCTCCAGTGTTGATACTCTGTTTTCCATTTCATTCATTTTAACAGTGAGGCTTTCCCTTGTTTCAAGTTGGCTTATTGAGTTTTTCACTTCCTTCATTTCTGCCTGAGTTTTCTTCAATGTTGCTATCTCTTTTGTGAGTTCATTTAGAACTTTATCCCTATCTTCTTTTTGTTCTTTGATTTGTTTGTTCTTTGTTTGTGTCTTTTTTTTTTTTTTTTTTTTTTTTTTTTGATTGAGACAGGGTCTCCCTTGTAGCCCCAGCAGGCGTGGAACTCTCTATGTAGACCATGCTGACCTCGAACTCACAGAGATCTGCCTGCCTCTGCCTCCCAACTGCTGGGATTAAAGGTATGCACAACCATGCACAACGATATGCCTTTTACATTCCTATTCGCTCCCAAATGTATAGTGGAGTTTTATCACAGGTTGTATAATCACTATTTTTGCTATCTTGGCTCTTGTAAGTGTGTGTGTGTGTATGTGTGTGTGTGTGTGCGCGCTCATTTAAATAAGTTTCTGAAAATATGTATGCCACAATCATTAGACTAGGACTCACCTTAGCAAGAGCTTAATTTTTTTAATTTTAATCTTTTCTGTTTGAGTGTGTTGCCTGCATGTGTGTAAGCGCACCCACGATGTGCAGTGCCTGCAGAGGTCAGAAGTGGGTGTCAGATTCCCCTGGAACTGGAGTTACAGATGTTGTTAGCCACCATGTGGATGCCGAGAATCGAACCCAGGTCCTCTAAGAGAGCAGCCCGTGCTCTTAACTACTAAGTCATCTCTCCAGCCCCACTGTCTTGTTTTTTAACCTGTTCTGCCAATTTAATTTTCAAGCCTATCCATGTATTCCCAAGTAATAGGAATGCTGTGGTTTTCCTTTGATTGTAGGACTATGAAGTTAAGCATCCTTTTAAGAGTCACAGAGTTTATCCATCTGAACTTTACTTGAAATTTTTTTTTAACTATTTTATTATGGGAGGGGGTAGGGCATGTGCTATGGTTATCAAAGTACAATTCGTGGAGTCAGTTTTCTCATATCTTTATATGGGTTCTAAGGTATCAAAGTCAGGTTGCTAGCCTTGCACAGTAAACACCTTAACTCACTGAACCACTGAACCTTATTTTTTATATAAACAGAGAAATATCTGATAGTATAATAGTAATCCAGAAATTCTTACTCTGTTAATTATTTTCATTCTCACAATATTTACCTTTAATAGCATGCAAATTTTCCAAATCAGAATCATTTTTAAAATACAGTGATAACTTTTCTTTCTTGTAGTTATTCATCTGTTTGAAGGAATTTCTTTGGAGTCTTTAATAAAGTAAAAAGCTTGTGGGGTTTTGTTTTGTTTTTGTTTTGAGACGGGGTCTCCCTGTAGCCCCAGCTGGTGTGGAACTAGCTATATAGACCAGGCTGGCCTCAATCTCATAAAGAACCCCCAGCCTCTGCCTCCTGAGTACTAGGATTAAAGGCATGCACCACTATGTCCTGCTAAGCTTGTGATTTTTAGCAGTAACTATATTCTCTGTACTTGTTCTTAGCTCTTGTTTGGTGTTAAAAGTAGATCACAAGCCAGGAGCAGTGGCACACACCTTTGATCCCAGCACTTGGGAGACAGAGGCAGGCAGATCTTGAGTCAGCCTGGTCTACATAGCAAGTTCCAGACCAACTGTGGCTACAAGGAAACCCTGTCTCAAAAAACAAACAAAACCGGGGGGGGGGGCGTTGGGTTGTAATGTAGAGATGAAGAGGAAGATACTGTAATAAAGCAGTAGTATGACATAATACTTAAGATCAATGGCTATGTGTTCAAATCCCAGTTTTTTCACTTATTGGGAACAGTTTTGAGGGCTGTCTTTAAGTGTTTATGCCTTATTTCTCAGAACATGGAGATTAATCTCATGTTGTATTGACAAAAACAAAACAAACAGCAACAACAACAACACCTGTAGTGAATGAATGGAAGCAGCATGTGCACTCAGTCAGGGCAGTGCTACAGTGGCATAAAACCCATGCAGGCAGGAATAGTAGTGAAGCCAGGCAAGCTTGGTCACATCTGCAACCCCAGCACTCAGGAGCCTGAGGCAAGATCTTGAGTTCAAGGCCAGCCTGGCTACACAATAAGATGCTGTAAATCACTGTGGAAGGAATGGTGATTATAAAGGCTGAGTGCCGTCCTGCAGCAGTTGGTCCAATCTCTGAACCCCATCTAGTAGGCAGCTCCTTCCAAGAAGCATCCTAGTGGCAGCACTTAAAGTTCTTTCTCAGCCTATCTTATTTTCTATACATACCTTTTCTTTATGTGACAGATATTGTTTAATGAATAACTAAGGTAAAATTCATTTTGTTATAAGGAGAAAAAACATATCCGTACCTAGCCTCCTTTGCCCTTTTAAGACTGGTAAGGCAGCTTATTAGAATGTATAGACAAGGAATGTATTCCAAGATGGGACTTGCTGTCAGGAGAGAAACCTGCTGAGTATTGTTTTTGCTAACCTTTTGTTATAGAGAGTTTATTTGAAATTTGACTATAGCCTTCAACAAGGAAGTTGGTTTGAGTATTAAATTTTATCATAAGCAGCTGAACTCTGAAGGCACTGAATAAAATAGATGGTTTTACATTGTTTTCTCTCAATACAGACCAGAGAATCTGATCTTTAGCAATGCAGATATATGACTTCTGTCTGTAGTCATCTTAATGTAGTTCCACTACATTAAGAACATACTCAAATTGCTTATTTCATTAGCCCAGGTTCCGCAATAAATCAGTGTAGTTGGAGAATTTTGGGAAAGCCAAATTCTTCTAAAATGTCTTTCCTACAATTAAATGTAAATTTAAATAGTTTCCAGGTGATAGATAACCTTTTTTATTTTTTTCAAGTTACTGAAAAGAGCAGTAATCATTATATCTAAATCCAGTGTGTGGTGTAGGACTTTTCCTCCCAAGGAGCCAGATTTGAGGCCCAGTAGAATTAAAATAGCTCAAATCTGTTAACACTGGATTTTCCAGCCAAGATCAAGGATTTCACCCCCCCTCCCCCCATCCAAGCCACAGCTGAGTACAGGGGATCCTGAAACTTAGTTGTCATGATACCATTGGGAACAGTGCATGCTGTATTCCTACAGTTTGGTAGAGGGAAGAACCTAGAAGGCAATGTTCCTCTGTCCCCACTGCAGAGACAGGTATGGCTGTGGACTCTTGTCCCAGGTGTTATGCTATGTGTTCCGGCACAGTCATTTTCCTATAGGGAAGAACCCTCTCTTTTGGAGCCTTCTGAAATCATGATTTCCTGGGTTTGATTCCATTTCAGTAGTCTTCCAGATTGAGAATTCTACTGACTTAACCTTGATAGACTTTTTCTTTGAAATATAAAAGAGGATATTTGAGCACTTCCCGTAGTGAGAAGGCTTAACTTGGACATCTTAATCTAAACTTTAACATGTTTTACTTTCTAAAAAATGTATGGGCTATTTTATTCAGCTTTATGGCCATATGAAAGGTATATACTATTTTGCCATTATTCTAACAGAGTTATCAGAATTTGTTTAAGCTTTAACCATTTGGTTTTCTTCAGTTCTCCAGGAGACTTAGTTGGATTTTACCTTTAATTTTGTAGCACCCACAGATCCAGAAAAAATCTCAGTATATCAAATATCTTTGTTGTGATGATGTGAGGGCCCTGCATCAGTGGGTCAATGGAATCCGCATTGCAAAGGTACATTTCCTTTTGGTTTGATGATGGAATAATGAGGTTGATTAATTACATATTTTGCATTGTTGTGATGGTTCTGGTTCATGATTCCACCAGTGTCCAGTTTTCTTAAGGTTAAATTGCATGTTTTGGAGGTGGTTGAGATTTTGTTTGTGTTGTTTTGTTTTGTTTTGTTTTTGATGACAAGATTTCATTATATAACCTTGGCTGGCTTGGAACTTATTATATAGACCAGGGTAGTCCTGAACTCAAGAGTTCCACCTGCCTGTGCCTCCCTACTGGTAGGATTTCGGGTGTGTGCTCCCTTACCTGACCTCTAAGTTTTGTTTTTTAAATGTCTTTGTTTTCCTTGGTGATCAGGATAAACTTTGGCCACTAATATCCATGGAATAATATTACTGGTAAAAGTTTGTATAATATCAGAGTGACTTATTTTGTTAGAGAGGTGCATTTTATGATTCTTATATAACTGAGCAAAATGTTTTTTTGGGAATTTTTGGGGTTTTTTTCTTTTTTTTTTTTTTTTTCAGTACTGAGCATCTAACTTGGAGCATTGAGTGCTTGGTAGACAAGCACTCTATCCCAGTTACACCCCCAGCCTACAAAATAAAAAATTTTTAAAGATTTTAATTTTTTTTAATATTTTATTTATTTATTTATTTATTTGTCTTTTTTTGACACAGGGTCTCCCTGTAGCCCCAGCTGTCCTGGAGATCACTATGTAGACCAGGCTGGCCTTGAACTCACAAAGATCCACCAAGTGCTGGGATTAAAGGCATGCACCACCATACCCGGCCAGATTTTTATATTTTATTTTATTTATTTGTTTGTGTGCACGTGTGTGAGGTGCCCACAAAGGTGGGAGGGGACGGTTATTGGAGTTACAGGAAGTTGTGACCCATGCAATGTAGGTGCTGGGATCTGAACTCTGGTTCTCTAATGGAGCAGTAAGCACTCTTAACTGCTGAGCCATCACTCCAGTCCCCAAATAAATATTTTTAATTAAGTTATGGTCATTTCTCAAGTAGAGTTGTCTTGAATAGTGCTGGAGAACCTGGCCTTGGATCAAGAATTTGGAGTAATAAGAAAATTCATACTTATTCTCATTAAAATCAATAGTTCGCTTCCTGATATCCTTCTATAAATGAAGAAAAATAAGAGTATGGATATAACTTTAAAGTGTTAAGGACTGTTTAGAGTATTACAGATATTAATATAAACTGTGAACTCATGTACAGAAATGCATCCCTCCCACTTTCCTACACATTCCACATCATACCAACTCAGGTTCAGATATCACCATTTATTGCCTTCTGTTTAGTATGGGAAGCAACTCTACATGAATTATCAAGAAGCCCTGAAGAGGACAGAGTCAGCTTATGATTGGACTTCTTTATCCAGCTCCAGCATTAAATCAGGATCCAGTTCTTCCAGCATCCCAGGTAGTTCAAAAGGCGACACAGCACTATTGTATTTCTCATATGAAGTCTTTATTAAGAATATTAGTAAAACTTGTCATTTTAGCTTGACTCTGAAAATTTATAACCATACCCAATTTCTAAATTATAATCAATGGATACTTTTTCCCTTTTCCCCTTAAAATTGTAGAAGGTGCAATATTGTTGACTAGGTCACAAATACATTTGAAATAGACTTCTAAAGCCAAGGGGTTTGATATTTGTATTTATGAAATTTATTAAAACTCACACGTACTAAGAAGAGAAATTGCTTGGGAAACTCTTTGTACTCAGAATCCGTGAGGACACTGCCCTCCTACACAGTTTCTTGACATTTCAGTGAAATGTAAATAAATACCTTGAACTAGTTCAGAATTACAATTAAGGAAGCCATTTAAGCCAGTTTTCACAGGAAATCAGTGACACTCAAAGGGGTTTCCAGATTACTTTTAAACAAATGTGCTGTATTCACATCTTAAACTAAATGCTTGCTCACTTCCAAAATTTTCCCCTAATGATAATCCATGTAATTGTTTGTTGATTTTAAAACTGGGTGAGTTGGCTTTATCACTAATATTAAGATTAAAAAATTGGAATGTGGTATGTGTATACTAACATGTAAATATGTATTATATATCTGCCATGTAAACATATATTTCTGGTTCTGTCCATTCATTGGGAGGACCTAGGCATGGAATGTCCACAGCCCAGTCTCCAAAAGAACCAGAGCTCTTGGGCAAAGGCTGAGTCTAAGGCTGTAGCAGAGAATATGTAAGATGAACCTTGAGCACATTGTCATGCCAGAGTAAGAAAAGAAAGTGCTCAAAGGATATGATAAGGGGATGCCAGAGGGACACAGGAGCCAACCAGAAAAAGCTGTGCCCAAAGCAAGTTCCCTCCACGTAATGTGATGAGACTTGACCAGCTCAAGACTGCCAAAATTTTCAAAAATAAGAAAGTCTGAGAAACTGTCAGAGGAGATAAGGTGACTCTGATGTGGCATCCTGGACCAGAAAATGGACATTAAGGGAAAACTAGTCAAATCCAAAGGAAATACAGAGTTTACTTAATTGTAAATATGGTGTCTGTTTCATAGTTGTGACAAATGTACTATAGATTGAAACATGATAATAATGGGATAAACTAGATGCTATGTCTGTAAGAACTCTGGGCTAAATCTATGCTAATATGAAAATATCTAATATGTAAAAATCTAAAATAAGATGTTTACTAAAGTAGAAAAATACTTTGAGAAGATGTATTAAAAAGACAAGGTAAGAAAGCACGTAGCACACCTTTAATCGCAGCCCTTGGGAGGCAGAGGCAGGTGGATCTCTGTGAGATGGAGGCCAGCCTGGTCCACATAGTGACTTCCAGGTGGTCTGGGACTAGGAAGACCCTGCCAAAAGAAAAAAAAGCATGCAGCAAGTAGACTTTAGAAAAGGGATAAAAGATTGAGAAAAGACTTTTTTATATGTGTATGAGTATATTGCCTGTATGTATGTAAGTGCACCTGTGATGTACCGTGCCCATAGAGGTCAGAAGAGGGCATTAGATCCCTTGGACCTGGAGTTGGGACAGTTATTAGCCACCTATGGGTGCTGGGAATCAAACCCAGGTCCTCTGCAAGAAAAGCCAGTGCTCTTAAATGCTGGACTATCTCTCCAGCCCCAGATGTATATTTTTTTAATTCAAGTTCTTACATATATTACTCCATGAATAATACTGTACCTTTTCTTCTCTGGCATCATTCACGTATTTTGTAGATACTAGGCAGGCTTTCTAGTGTAAGACATAAAAAAGCATAGTAACTAATTTTGAAGAGAGCTGAAAGAGTCATCCATCTTCTTGTTCTACAAGGCTATTGTCATAAACATTAGATAGGGATAATAAATGAGGCTAGTAAGGTAGCTTTTTTATCATATTCCTTATTTTTACCTTAAGGATAGTATTAACTTTGTACAAAGAAGTTTAGACTTGGGATTTCTTTGTAGATATTATCTTTAACTACTTTGTCTAATTTGGCTGTACTTGTTTAGTATTTTGCATTCTAATAGTTTGCATCCATCACAAAATGACTGGCTCTGCTTGAGTCTGCACTACTTGCCAGTCATCATGTAACATATATCCACATAGTAATCTTAAATCCAGGAAGTAATCTTTCCAGTTCTGCAACCCAGATATTAGTTAAAGGTACCTGTTAACCTCACAGCCACGATCCTGCTCTCTGCTACCCACTGGCCTTGAAACCAGGCTGTAGCACAGCTGCTGCACAATAATGCCAAAACCTAAATCCCTGGGAAACATACTGTCGTCTCAGTTGAATGACACACTGTAAGTATCGTTAATTGCAGGGAAAAAAAAAAAAAAAGGAATGCTCTGAAGCTGTAATTCCATAATGGCCTGATTCTCAATATAACAAAGATATGATTGATGGTTTATTCTTTTGCCTGTCAAGAAATTTTTATGCAAGACAGGTTGTTAGGGTATGAATGACTTGTATTAGTATCTTATAGTGAACTATTTAAATAATAATCAAGGCTGGAGATGGCTCAGTAGTTAAGAGGACTTAACTGCTCTCCCAGATGATAAGAGTTCGGTTTCTAGCACCCATGTTAGGCAGCACACAACTGCCTGTAACTACAGCTCCAGGGGATCTGACGCCATCTTCTGACCTCTGAATTTCCTCACACACGTGTTGTACATAAACTCACACAAGCACACACACACATACACATAAAAACAATAAATTGTTTTTTTTAAGTCAAGATTTCCAGTTAAGCTTAAGGGAAGTTGTCTAATAGAATATACTGGCTGTGTTTACAGTAAAATGAGTAAAATTGACTTACTCTACATAGCGTTTGACCTTGTATACAATATTTAAATGTCAATACTATTAAAATACTGACTGATTTTAAATATGTTTAATATTTTAAACAGAGTCTCAGTCAAATCATTCTAATCAGTCTGATAGTGGAGTTTCTGATACCCAGACAGCAGGACACATCCGTTCCCAAAGCATTGTGAGCTCCGTCTTCTCTGAAGCCTGGAAACGAGGCACTCAGTTGGAAGAGTCCAGCAAGGTAATACACTGGTTTTAATTTAACTAGAGAAGTGTGGTTTCCATGGGTTTAACTTGTGCTCTTCTGCTCCTTTATCAGAATCTTATTTGGCACTAAGTCTTCTTTCTTAGATTATCAGTCTTCCTAATTGTAATGGGAAACCATTTCAGAGAGACCTACTGACTTTGAAAATTGGTTGTAATGACTTAAGATCTTAAACTTTTTTTAATGGCAGTTATTAATAAATTTATCCAGTGGCTCAGATTTTAAGCGATAGCAATCTTTTCCATTGTAACTAGTTTGCTAGAGTAATACCATGTAGTGCCAGTGCCCTACACAAGCTCTAGAGAAGCTGCTTAGGCTTTTTATTTTTATTTTTTTTTTAATTAATTTAGACTCATTCCTTGTCTTGTTTTTTTATGATTTTTGGCATTTTTCTGAGCATCTGAATTTTCTCAAATTATATGTTATGTAGAAGGCTAAATTTGTTCTTAAAAGTTTGGATTCCTGAGTCCTATGTAATAGATTATTCAGTAATACTGAAGAATGATTATAATTATTAGAGACTATACTGTTTTGAGAAGTGTTTTTTGGTTTTGGTGGGGGTTTTTTTATGTGTATGAGTGTTATGCCTGAATGTAGATAAATGCACCTGTGCAAATGCCCTCGGAGGACAGAAGAGGCTGTTGGATCCCCTGGAACTGGAGTTATAGACAGTTGTTAGCTGCCATGTGGGTACTGGGATTTGAACCTGGGTCTTCTGCAAGAACAGTTAGTGTTCTTAACCGCTGAGCCATCTCTTCAGCCCCTAGAGAAGGGTTTTTTTTTAGGTCTTTTTTTAGGTCTCCCTGTAGCCCCAGCTGTCCTGGAACTCACTATGTAGACCAGGCTGGCCTTGAACTCACACACAGAGATCCTCCTGCCTCTGCCTCCCAAGTGCTGGGACTACAGGCATGCACCACCATGCCCTGCGAGAAGTGTTTTTAAATACAATATTTTTATTAATTCTTTGCGAATTTCATACATGAATGTCATGCATTTTAATATTATTCATCCCTCACTCTTCCCAGATCTACTCCCCACTTCCTTCCAACTTTATGTCCTCTTTTTTGTTTTTCACATTTATAACCCACCAAGTCCAGTTTGTACTACAAGCCCATATACTCATGGATGTGGGGCATGGTCTCCCTACCAGGAGTCACACCCCTAAAGAAAACGACTCTTCCTCCCCCAGAAGCTATCAGCTACCAATAGCTCCTCAGCTTGGGATGAGGAGCCCACCCCTTCCATGCTAGAATGCTGACTGGCTTGATCTTGTGCAGGCAGCCACAGCTGCTCTGAGTTCATGAGTGCAGTTTTATCATGTCCAGAAGATACTGTTTTGCTCAGATCCTCCCAGACCCCTGGGTCTTAAAATCTTTCTGCCCCTTCTTCTGTGGTGATTCCTGAACCTAGGGGTAGTGGGGGACGTAAACACTCCACAGACACTCTACTATGTTTTGACCAGTTGTGAGTTCCTGTATCAAGTGCTGTCCACTACACAAAGAAACTTATCTGTGAAATCTGAGAGCTGCACTATTAGAGGTTTTTAAGTTCAATTGAATAGTCCTCCATCAAACAGCCTCTGTATTTCTGTAGGAAAGGGTATGCCTGGCTATAGTCACCACTTCAGTGTAAACAAGTGAGCTCTCTATTGAGGAACCAGTAGCCCCGCTGGCTGGACTATTTTTACCTAAACATCACTTTGACTTTTGTTGTTGTTGTTATTCTTTTGGTGTGAGTCACTTATATAAGCACATTCACAAATTAGAGTCAAGGGGCTGGAGAGATGGCTCAGCTGTTAAGAACACTGGTTGTTCTTGCAAAAGACCTGGGTTCAAATTCCAGCACCAACATGGTAGCTAACAACGGTCTGTAACTCCAGTCCCAGGGGATCCGACAGCCTCTTCTGACCTCTGTGGACATTGC